ATTTCAGTATGATGGGATTATGGTGGAAAAGAGGGAGGATAGAGAAAGAAGCTAGTGATGTGACTGGTGCGTTTGGCAGGGACCAGATTTAAAAAGAACTTTTAATCTGGCATTTGTATTTTCTTAAGTGTGCTATGGGAGTGTTTAGATTATTTTAAACAGAGAAGGCAGGAAACTAGAGAATGTTTTGAATAAGATGACTGGGGCTGCAGTGTGGAGAAACGATGGGAAGGTAGAGCACAGTAGAGACAGGGAGAACAGTAGAGAGGCTGCAGCAGGAATTCTTAGGGAAAACGATGGTGGCCTGAATTCGGATAGAAGTGGTGGAGCTCAAGAGAAGTTGGTGAGCTTCAGAAATGTTCCAGAAGTAGAAGAGAAGTGCTCTGATGTTTGGTAATGGGGAGAGAGAGAATGGAAGGACTCAAGGTAACTGGTTTTGGTAATGGTTGGCTGGAGGTGCTGCTATCCAGTGACTTGGGGAACATTTGAGAAGGAAATGGCTTGGGGTGGCGAGGGAAAGATAAAGAGGCCAATTCAGGTTCAGTTTTGGCTGATTATGGGCCATCTAAGAGGAGTAGTCTCATAGGTAATTAGATTCTTAGGCCTCAAGTTCACAATCTATTTGGTTGACTTGTGGATAAAGGAGTCAACAGATGACTGATGTCATGGGAGTGATGAAATCCCCCAGACTATATCTGCAAAAATAATTAAATGTCAAAACTCTGAAGAGCTCCACCACCAGCATTAAAGAAAGAACAGAAGAGGAAAAATCATCAAGGCAATTGAGAAGGAGCAGCCACTTTGGATGGAGGAAAAGCCATAAAGCCTCTATTACAGAAGGAAGGAAAACAGGCTTTGCAGGGAGGGAAAAATTTTTTTTAGGATGTTGGAAAGTTGCATGTTTTTTTGAGAGGTCAAGAAAAGGCTAGAAAGATTACATCAATTAGCACCTTGGAGGTCACCGGTGACCTTGGTGACAGTGGTTTTAGTGGAACAAAATCTAGGTGAGCAAAAGTGGAAGAGGGAAAGGTGAGGTAATAAACACACGTGTTGTGGAATTTTAGCTATAATAGGAGTTCGGAAGGAGCTGGATAGAGTTTAAGGATGATGTTAGGATTACTATGCAAGAGGATTATGCATGTTTAGAATAAGACTATCTGAAGCAGCTGTCTAATTTTAAAACTTACCCCCATTTTAAAGCCTTCCATTACAATATTCTTTAGGTTTTCTATGTTATGTCTCTCTTCCTTTGCTTTTTAGTATTGAAGCAAGGAACATTTAAGTGAGTATGGATTTTTTTTTTCCCCAACTTGGTAGTGAATCATCAATTTTTCTCATGAGGTCCCTTTAAAATGTGTAGACAGAGTTGATTTATCTCATATTTCATGAATTCCACTTTAATCTTCAGTGCCCCATTTTTCAAGTTTAAAAATATGAAATAGGCAACCACTTCTTTACTTACATGTGATTCTGAGTATTCTTGTATACAGATTGTATGGAGATAGTTGTTTTGTGGTATCTTGTTATTGACTATTCCAATCCCCATAATTCAGAGGGATGTATTTGGGCACATAAATTTCAACTTTCAATTAAGTCCACCTTTTTCTTTCTGGAGATGCTGATTAAATTTCTGCAGCCAGTTCCAAATTCATTCTTAAATTGAGAAACACCAAAATGCTGATGCATTCCAAAAGTCCACTCTGGTTTATTAGAACCTTGGTTGGCTTGGCTTCCAGACTCATATTTTTCAATTCTTTTCAAGTAGCTGGAAGAAATAAGGAAACATTTACTTCCAGTTGCAAGAAAGTGTCTGAGTGTTGATAATTGATTAATTCATCCATGAACTTTTTGGTTCATATATTACATATAGAAAAAGAGTTATAAAGACTAATTCTATGTGATACTATATGTGCAATTAATACAGTTTATATTTTATTTTTTAAAACTGGCAAACTAAGTTATTTATATTATTGATAAACTTTTTTTTTTTTTTTTAAATCTGAGATGGAGTTCTGCCCTGTTGACCAGGCTGGAGTGCAATGGCATGATCTCAGCTCACTGCAACCTCTCTCCCCGGGGTTCAAGCAATTCTCATGTCTCAGCCTACTAAGTAGCTGGGATTGCAGGCACCTGCCACCATGCCCAGCTAATTTTTTTCTTTTTTTGTATTTTTAGTAGAGACAGGGTTTTGCCATGTTGGCCAGGCCGGTTTCAAACTCTTGACCTCAAGTGATCCACCTGCCTGGGCCTCCCAAAGTGCTAGGATTACAGGCATGAGCCACCACACCCGGCCCCAATAAACTCTTTAAAATTTGATTTTGACCATTGGAATTCTTTATGTGAATAATCTTTCAGTTAGTTACTGTGATGTCATAACTACCTGTTAAATAGTGTGCTAAGTGCAGTGGTGGAAATTTTAAATAAATTATCTCAAAGTGGCAACAATCATTATCTAAGTCTTAGAGGGGGTTATTTCTTTTTTCAATTTTACAAGTAAGACAGAAAGCTGAAGTGACTTGGGTACGGCTTCCTAGATATCCAAAAATGGATCAAGTCCTTTTGTTGTACATTTTCAATATGCCTTGTACTTCTAATACCTAATATCTACCAGAAGACTGGTTGGTTAATCAATCAAAAGTGATCATTGTTCCTTGACTAGCTTGACTTGAATGTGAAGTCTTTTATAGTAGAGACAATGCCTATTTCATTTACCCTTCTAGCACTAGATCCTGGCATAGAGCCTGCTGACTTGTAGATGCTCATCAAATAAACAACTGATTTGGCATGACATAGCTGGAAAATGGGGAACTTAAATATAAATGCTGGTCATTCACTTGACTGATGATTTACTATTCAATCCACACATTAAAATTTTCTTTTATTGATATAGTGGCAATCAACACATGAAATTTTCTTAACACATAAATGTATTTTAGGCAGTTCACCCAATAGTCACAACGAATTGTGACCTAATAGCTCATAAACATTTTAAGTCAAATTTATGAAAAACAAAATACCATGAGAATAGGAAAAAGCTAATTTTGTTAATTATAAAGTCATGAAATAACTGAGAGCTGGAAGACAATTTAACATCCAAATCATAATCATAAATGTGTGGAAGCAAGATTTGTTTTTCTACCATATTCCTATTGCCTGACAAGTGTCTAGTATACAACAGGTATTCAATAAGCGCTAGTTGCAGGAATTAATTCCTTTTACAAATGAGAAAACATGCCTAGAGAGGTTATTTGACTTATGGTAGACCTGTAACTAGGGGGCTGATCTCTTGACTGCAAGCCTCTTGCTCCTTCCTTTAAATTAAAATAACATCTAGCATTTGTCTGTAATATTTTTCAATATTTAACACAATAATCTGAAGAGTTTTACAAGGAGAAAATTATTTTTCTGGAAAATTGAAGCTCAGAGTTAAAGACTTTCTCCAGATCACTGGTTCTCAAAGGTGGTCCCTGGCCAGTAACATTAGCATTACCTCAGAACTGAGAACATCACTTTAGAAACACAGATTCTCATGCCTTGTCTCAGACCCACTGAATCAGAAACTCTGGGTGTGGTTTCTTAGCAATCTGTGGTTTAACAAGCCCTCTAGACAATTCTAATCATGTTGCAATTAGGGAACTACCAGTGTTGGGAATGTGACTGTTATGGTTAAACTTGGATTTAGATAAATTACTCTGAAAGCCTCATGGAGAGTAGATTAGAGTAAGGCAAGATGGAAACCTGGAAGTCCATTTACGAAGATAGCTTCTTTTCTCTCTTCTCCTTCACTCCAAAGTGAAGTGAAGGAGAAGAGAAAACACATTTGTTTGCTCTTTCTTTAATATGTCTGTTGACTTGCTACTTTTATTCTATTTTATTTCTAGTTGACAATAATAATTGTATATATTTATGGGGTACAATGTGATGCTTCGATACATGTATACAATTGGAATACTCAAATCAGGCTAATTAACATATTTATCATTTCAAATATTATTTCTTTGTGGTGAGAACATTAAAAATATCCTTTTTTTTTTAAGCTACTTTGAAGTATACAATATGTTGTCATTAACTGTAGTCACCATGCTGTGCAGTAGATCAACAGGACTCATTCCTTCTGTCTAACAGGAACTTCGTATCCATTGCCAACGTCTCCCCTTGCCTGTCTATGCTCCTTCTTTTCTTGATTCTCCTTGGTACAAGGGGAGGGGAGCGAACATTGTGAACGGCTATTAATTATTCTTTACTTACAGTATTTGTAGAATGAAAGGAAGACCATTTTAATCCTTTTTTTTTGCTGATCCCAACTCTATTTAAAGTTATTGAGTTAACATGTTTACAGTGAAAAAACATGTACTGAAGGGTATACATGAACTCTTTAAGAAAGTTGAATGTGATTTGAATAATGGTTAAAACCTGGTGCTAATGAAGTCAGGGCTGTAGCCTCAGTTCCTCTATGGATTAATTAACTTCCCCTGTTACAGTATCTTGGAATTCACCACTTAGTGAACTTGGGGTGCCATTCTCTTGGTAATTAAGCAGATCAGGTGAGGCAAAAAAGATGCATGGTGGCCGGGCGCGGTGGCTCAAGCCTGTAATCCCAGCACTTTGGGAGGCCGAGGCGGGTGGATCACGAGGTCAAGAGATCGAGACCATCCTGGTCAACATGGTGAAACCCCGTCTCTACTAAAAATACAAAAAATTAGCTGGGCATGGTGGCGCGTGCCTGTAGTCCCAGCTACTCAGGAGGCTGAGGCAGGAGAATTGCCTGAACCCAGGAGGCGGAGGTTGCGGTGAGCGGAGATCGCGCCATTGCACTCCAGCCTGGGTAACAAGAGCGAAACTCCGTCTCAAAAAAAAAAAAAAAAAAAAAAAAAAAAAGATGCATGGTTTACTGCAAATTTATTATTCCTTCCAGAAAATGCCTTCAGAAGCCCAGGTGATGTTTTGAAACATTTTATTTACACAAAGACATCAGAGACATATGCTTCTATTCCCTATAGTTACTGTGTCGTGTTTGGATACTTGAAAGAAAATGACACTTTGGAGCCTTAAAAAGTGGACTTTCCTTCTGAAGTACCCAGGAGAGTAGGTAAGAGAATAGATCTTCCTATTCAGAACTTCAGAATGTGTAAGATGTTGGACTAAAACAGTCACAGAAGTCATTGTTTGTGTCCATGAGTCCCTACTGGGTTTTCTGACAGGGACCTCATTTTACAATTGTGGCCATTTGTGCACACTGGCAGATATACCCCTGCCCAGACGTGGAACAGGACCTGTTGTATAGCATAAATTTAAGAAGCTCAGTTCTAGCATTTTCCAAGCATTGTTTATTGTATTTCACTCTGGGGCTCTGTTCTTTTGTCTGGGCTTCATACTGAAACAAAACTAAATTACATATCCATTCTATGTCATCTATCTTGTTTTCTTGTACTTGAGTTTCTCTTTCGATAATGTGCCTGGTTCTTCCATGATTGGTAAAAATCAATCACTCTGTTCACTCCTTCCCTCCTTCCCTTCCTCCTTCCCTCCCTCCGTCCCTCCTTCCTTCCTTCCTTCCTTCCTTCGCAAGGAACTACTTCCTTCAACAAAACTACTACTGCCCATGTAAGACACAATGTTAGAAATTCAGCCTGATGAGAGAATTGCTTGAGCCTGAGTTCGAGAGCAGCCTGGGCAACATAGAAAGACCTTGTCTCTACAAAAAACTAAAAACAAAAAGATTCGCCAGGCATAGTGGTGTGTGCCTGTGGTATCAGCTACTCAGGAGGCTGAGGTGGGAAGATCAGTTGAGCCAGGAGGTCAGGCTGCAGTCAGCTGAGATTGTGCCGCTGCACTCCAGCCTGGGTGACAGAGCAAGATCTTGTCTCGAGAAAAGAAAAAAAGGAGAGAGAAAATAAAGAAAAAAAAAAAAAAAACTGGGCCTGAGCCATGATCTTGGCAACTAGCCATTTATTACCCCTTCCTTATACACTGGAGGTTTGAAATCTGCTTCCAAACTTCAGTGCCGTGTCTGTGTATTCATGTCTGTTACTGTTGCAGACCTAACTGCCTGGATCTCCAATAGTGCTTCCCCAGGACGCGACAGTCCTACACTTATTGCAACACCTGTATTCCTTCCTGGAGGACCTCTCTGATGGCTGTTCTGGCTTATTGTCTCCAAGCTTTCTCTGCTTCTGACTTTCATCTATTGTCTGCAGCTGAGTGAATATCTGCTCTGCCTGATCCCAATCTCCACTTAGCTCTCAGAATCTCCATCTGAGAGAAGAGGATAGGTTTTGCCAGTTCCTCCTGCCACATCTTGTGTTGAATTATATGTTCAACAAGTAATGATTAATTTCTTATTATTGACCACGTATGGATGTGGGAATAGAAAGAGGAATAAGATGGAAATTCCAGTCTCAGGAGACTGTTACAAATAGAGTAGATTCTCCCTAATTGTGAGGACAAGGAGATTTTGCTGTTGAGGTACTTAAGATTTTAGGGGGACGATACAGTTATAGAGGTATTAAATGCAAACTTGCATGAATCTTCTTTGTATTATCTCTAAAACAGAACCATCAGTTAACATTTTTCACACCTTAAATTAATAATAATGGTTATGTTACAGTTGCTTTCCATTTACCATCTCTTGCTCTATTGAAATTTCTCAGGGTCTTCCTCTTCTGCCATTTCAGTAAAATGCCCATAAATTTGCTTTGCTTTGCTAAAATAATATACATATAAAAGATCTTTCTCCCTGAATCTGGTTCTCCATCCAAATGTGCAATGCCTTTCTGATTTCATGATTTCGAATTGTTGAGTTCTGCATCCTGAACCCCAGAGATAACTCCCAAAAGTACGTGCCATCAGGCCTCTCTTACACAAATGTCACTTCCCTCCTTCCTTGCAACTGCAGGAGTTCCACTTTAAGGTCCTGGTTGATGTCTCCTCAGATTCCCTAATTTCCTAAAGCCTCAAGGCAAAAACCTCTGTTCCTGTCATGCCATCTGCTTTCCTTTATTTTTTTTACACTCATCACCCAATTTCCTCTTTTTCTAATTATCCCCAAAAGAAGTGGCTCAGAATTCTTTTATACTGGAACTAAAATTGTTGTGGTTTGGAAAAAATATACAAAGCGAAACTGTGTATACTGAAATACCTTGTTTATTAAAATTTGATGTAGAGGCAATTCGTTCATGGGTAGAGGTTACTGTAACTTACCTGAAAAAACTATGCATTAGCTCTTTAAAACAAAGATATTTTTTCTTAATGCAGTGAACAATGTATTAACAAGGTCTAAGGGAGTTAAAAAGTAACTGGTTCTACTTGGGGAAGTTGAGGAAGCTTCCAGGAGAAGGGAATACTGGAACTGAATCCTGGAGAAAGTCACTGAAACAGAACGGAAAGGAAAACCCTTTCTAGGAAAGAGGATACAATATTTGTAATGAGAGGTGATATTTATTATAATTTGTACTTACACAGTTAATGTTACCATAATGTCCCTCTAGAACAGTGATTCTAAATCCAAGGTGATTTTGTCCCCCAGGGGATGTTTGGCAGTGTCTGGAGATATCTTTGACTGTCATAACTGGGGGCAGGGGTGTATGCAATAGCATTTAGTGGAAGGAGGCCAGGGCCAGGGGTGCTGCTAAACATCCTATCATACATGGGACAGAGCTGTAACAAAGACTTACTCACCTCAAATGTCAGTATTGTCACTGCTCTATAAGGTAAGTCCCACAAGGGCTAGAATCACTACTGTGTCTTAAGACCTATCATGGTTACAGTCGGAGTTGGTACTCATTTAACTTTTGCTAAGTGAATAAAGGCATGAAAGAGAAGGCATGTTTGGGAAAGAGCAATATGTATGTTAGTAGCTAGGGTATAATTAAAGAGCAGTGGGAAAATAAGGCTACTGATGTGATAGAGAAAAATAATGGAGGACACCTTGTGCCATATTGAGGAATCTTCCTTTACTATATTGTCCATGAAGAACCACTGGAGGCCTTTATGTGGGAGAATGACGCCAACTGATTTATGTGTTAGTAAGATAACCAAGCAGCAGTGCAGAGTTCAGAGACTTGACAGGCACTTAGAAGGATATTGTAAGAGTGAGGGCCAAGGGATGGTGAGGCCCTAACCTAAAGCTGAAGCAGTAAAGATAGAGAGAAGAAGAGAGATGTTTAGGACCTGGAATTCATAGGACTTGGTGATCAATTAAATATGGAAAGCAGAGTGAGTGTTCTAGCTTAGACTAGTAAGTGGGTGTTGGTATCGTTACTTGGAATGAGGAAGACAGGAGAAGAAACAGGATTTATGTATATGCATGTATATGTACTTGGCTTTGAATATTATTAAAACCTTAGTTTGTATCATTATCAACAGGACTTTTATGTCACCATTACCCAGGTACAGAAGATATCAAGATATATAATTCCAGTTTTAAGGAGCTGACACGTTCATAGCAGCACTACTTACAGTAGACAAAAAGGTGAATATGGCCCAAATTCCATCAACAGAAGAATGAATAAACAAAGTGTGGCATATCCATACAATGGGACTTTATTCAGCCATAGAAAGGAATAAGGTGGATACATATGCTACACAGCATGGATGAACCTTGAAAATTTTAAGTGAAGGAAGCCAGACACAAAAGGTAAGACACTATATAATTCATTTTACATGAAGTATCCAGAATAACTAAACATACACAGAGACAGAAAATATGTTAGTGGTGGGGAGGTGCTGGTGGGAGGGGATAATTGGGAATAATTGCTTAATTGGGGCAAGGTCTCCTTTGAGGCTGTTGACAATGTTCTGGAACTAGTTAATGGTTACGGTTGCACAGCACCGTCAATGTACTAAATGCCACTGAATTTTACACATTAAGATGGTTGAATACACTTTTTTTTTTTTTTTTGAGACGGAGTTTCGCTCTTGTTACCCAGGCTGAAGTGCAATGGCGTGATCTCGGCTCACTGCAACCTCCGCCTCCTGGGTTCAGGCAATTCTCCTGCCTCAGCCTCCTGAGTAGCTGGGATTACAGGTACGTGCCACCATGCCCAGCTAATGTTTTGTATTTTTAGTAGAGACGGGGTTTCACCATGTTGACCAAGACGGTCTCGATCTCTTGACCTCGTGATCCACCCACCTCGGCTTCCCAAAGTGCTGGGATTATAGGCGTGAGCCACCACACCTGGCCCGGTTGAATACACTTTTAAGATGGCTTATGTTATGAACATTTCATGTGAAAAGCAGTTTTAAGGGAAGCACAGAGTCTCATGAGAAGGAAAGATGAGTAAAAATATGGGAAATCAATGTAAGCCATTTATAACGGTCTCAAATAATAAAAAATGTTCTTCAAATTCGAGAAACTGTCTGGATAAAGCCTCACCAGCAATGAAAGCCCATGGCAGGAGCAGGGAATGAGAAAAGATTTAGGAGACCATTTGCTCTGTTTTTACAGTCCTGATGGCCACACTTCATGTGAGAGATAGTGGAGTTATTCCAGAGACATAAAGTGGTTCCATCAATGTCTTGTGACCCGTCAATGGCAGAGGTCTGAAATAGAACAGTTCACCAATTCTTTGAACTTTAATCTTTTCCTTCTAGAGACTTTGTCTCCAAAATATTTGCAGAAAGTAAAGCCAGAAAATGGCAGTGGTAATTAGAAGAATTATAAATATAATAGAAAAAGAATTGTTTAAGAAAGCAGAGTGGAAAATCTTGATACAACTTAAAATTGTAGGCTCTTTAATGTTTTGGATGAATTTCTCATACAAATTAAAATTGCAGGATCTTTAATGTTTTACATGAATTTCTCAAAGGAAAAATATTAAGGAATCTCTACTACTTGTTTTTAAAAATGAAGAATGGGCGAAAAATGTACTGTAGGGAATAATAAGAAACTTGCTGAGCAGTCTCACTATTAACCAAAGGTATTTTCCTAAGGTAAGATTACTACATATACACTCTTATTTTCTACATCTCTTTTAAAAAAGAAAATATTATTTCTTGTTCGTTTATAATTTCTTTCAAGTAAGATAATGAAGAGCTTGTATCACTGAATAGTTAGGATATCTTCATTTCTCAATATTACCTAACCTACCTCTTTCTCATGTGAATCATTTCTTATTCATTCAGCAACCATGTACTGAATCATAGAAAGTGAGGATAGAAGGATGCTTCAGATGACAATTGCCTTCAAGTTGCTCATAATTTAGAGGGCATGCTTGAAAGATAAATAATGTGAAAAAGATTAGTGATAGAGGTCTTTCTGTGGGAAAACAGAAATAAGTCTTCCAGCTTTGCCTGATAATATTAAGATGGATCCCCAAGAAGAGAAGATCAATCTTGATGGGTGAGGATTTGTTGGGTTGGCACTCCAGGAAGTAAAGAGGAATATGCAAAATCATGGCATCATGGTTCAATCAGGTGGTTCACTTACTAAGTATGTATTTTATATCCACTATGTCTCAGGCACTGTGATGGGATTTGGGAATCTAAGGCAAGAGGGTTCCTGCAGAAAAGATAGATATTAAACAAGTCTACAGAATAAACTGTAATGAAATATCTTACGGGAAATATGTAGGGTGCTATGGGAGTACATAGTAGGAGTCCTGATCTAGTTATGGGACATAGAGAAGGACTCTGAGGAAGTGACAAACTTAGAACTGCAATGGTGTCATAGCTCACACTGCTGTATTTTAATAGACTAGGTGGCTTAAACAACAGACAGTATTTATTTCTCACAGTAATGGAGGCTAGGAAGTCCAACATCAGGGTGCCAGCAAATTCAGTTGCCAGTGAGGACTCGACTCTCTTCCTGGCTTGCAGACACACTGTGCCTTTACATGGCAGAGAAAAAGAGACAGAGAGAAAAAAAGAGAAAGAGAGAGAGGGCACACTCTCGTGTCTCCTCTTCTTACAAGGACACTAATCTCATTGCGGGGTCCCTATCCTCATGACCTCATGTAAAAATAATTACATTTCAAAGGCCCCAGTTCCAAATACCATCACATTGAGGGCTTCAACAAATGAATTTTTGAGGGACGCAAACATTCAGTGAATGATAAATGGGTACAAGTTGGTGGAGGGAAGGAAGATGAGTGAGATAGGATTTAATTCATGCAAATATGTTCCAAGTTAGCCGGAGGATAATTAGGGAGGGCCTTGAAAGGCATGTTAGAAATTTATTTTAATGAGAACCCTCTGAAAGTGTTAAATCCTAACCCAAATATGAACTCTAACCTCACTGTAATTCTAACTCTGATTAGATGTGTGTTTAGAAACACAACTCCAGGTCTAGAGAATGGATTGGAGCAGGTAAGCAGAACTTAAGAGACTCTTCATGATGACAGATGAATTGTGGTAGGGTGTGAGGGTGATGACATTGAGGTTGAAGAGAATTAGGTGAATTTGGGATGTGAGAATCAGGAAAAAAAAGTAATTAAATATGACTACCAGGTTTCTGCCTTGTGGTAACATTTCTGAGAAAGAGAATCCTGGCAGAGCTTGAGGGCTTGAAAATACAGAATTCCCTCTTAGGCATGCTGTATTTGAAATACCTGCATGTAATTCTCTATGGCTTCAACATGGGCTGCCTGTGGGAAGGAATCAGAAAAGAAGTGAAGAAGTAGACACCAGTACCCATATCATAGAGGCAGTGGGATATATTGGTAGGAATGAGGAGTAATTGAGGGGTTCTCTACACTTCTTGGTGTGATTTGTGGTTTAGAACAGTTATTCTGGCAGTGGGAAGGTTGGCTCATGGGGACTAATATTGGATACAGTCAGGTAAGGAGCAGTTGCATGATGAAACATGGTGGTAGTAGGTTAAACAGGGTAAAATTATATTTCAGAGATAGCTTCATAACATTTGTTGATAGAATATCAGGGTTAAAAGAAGAATTGAGCAAATCTAAATTTCCATTAAAGTGTTGAATGGATGATAGTTTCAATAACAAAGCAAGAAGGGGAAAGGCAGACTTCTGAATTTGAACTTAGATTTGGACATGAAATGCTTTGCAGAACACACTCCTGACTAGCAGGCAGCAGCTGCTGGCTTCTGTGACATTGCCATGGATAGCTTTATTAATGCCTACTCATTTCGATTTCTCTCTATAACTTCTTTCTTTCTCTTGAATCTTAAGGATAGACTTCTTCTTATCTCCCTACACTACCCCTTGGAGAAAACCTTTTATCAAGGAGATACTGAATATCATCACTGATGTAAGCACTGCAACTAAAATAGGTTGACTACTGTTTTATGAACTCAGTGATAGCATTATATACACAACTAGCTGGATTTTTTTGTTTTTTTGAGACTGAGTCTCTCTCTGTCACCCAGGCTGGAGTACAGTGGTGTCATCTCAGCTCACTGCAACTGCCACCTCCCAGGTTCAAGTGATTAAACTTCCTCAGCCTCCCAAGTAGCTGGGATTACAGACGCCCACCACCATGCACAGCTAACTTTTCTATTTTTGCTAGAGATGGGGTTTCACCATGTTGGCCAGGCTCATCTCAAACTCCTGACCTCAGGTGATCTGCCTGCTTCAGCCATATTTTTACTTGGATGCTTTGCCATTTTCTCAGTTCAACATATTAATATCTCAGCTTTCCAGAACTCTACCATTCTGTCCAGAATCCTTATTTTCACCAAGTCTCTTAGTGCCCTAATGTTCTTGTATTTGCACGCATCTGAAACCTCAAGATCATCTCTGATCCTTTCATAGTCTTCATTCTTCAAATTCAGGAAATCATGAAGTTCTTTTTTTTTTTTTTTCTTTTAAGATGCCTCTTATTTCAGTCCTTCTTGTGTTGCTGCCCCTGATATTCTAGCTAATAGATAAATAAAAAAAACATTCTTTAAGACCCTACCATGTGCCAGGTAATCAAAGAAGCTCAGAGTGTAGTGCTAATAAATGGACAAATGCATAAACCAACAGCTACTGTTTAATATGATATGGAATCCTCATAGAGTACAGTGTACAGTGGAAGCACCAATGAGAGAGTGATTAAACTATGAAAATCAAGGAAAAATATACAAGGTATGGCATTTAGAATCCACTATTCATAGTTAGTATGGCCAGAGTACAAATTGTGATTCAGAAAGTTACAGAAAATAAGGCTGTAAAGGGATCAAATAGATAATACTAATCAAGAAATGCATCACACCACACCCAGATTGTTGTCCCAAATTTTTAGCTGCTTTTGATGTCTCTAGTTTCCCTTCACCAGTTTAACAAGAATTTATTTTAAAGCATATTTACAATGAATTTTCAAAGCACTGTCATGTACGTCACCCCTTTAACCATTACAACACTTCCTAGAGGTAGTATGCTCAAGCCAGTAACTTTCTCGACATTACATAGCCAAGTTTGAACTCTAGGTTTCTAAATTAAATCGCCAAATACTTGCCATTTATCTATGCATTTTGAGTATTTCTGCCAAAATGTCTATGCATTTTGTATATTTCTGCCAACTAGCAATGCTATGGTTACTTACTGCTCAAAAACTTTCATTGGCTTCCAATTATTCTATATCAGCAAGAAGAACCTCTTTGCTTGGTGTTTTCAAGACTATCCGTAATGTGGAACCATCATATATATTTAATCTTATTTTTTACTGTTCCATAAACTGTGACTTTGTGTTTTGGTTATCTGCTGGTGTCTGACAAACTACCTTAAAATAAATGGCTTTAAACAATAAGAATTTTATTATCTCTCCTGATTTATAGATCGGGAATTCAAGTAGGGCTTAGCTAGGCAATTGTTCTATTCTAATTTGGACTGACTGAGGTCTCTTAGGATCCCGGTAGCAGCTGGTCTGGTCTAAAGGGTCCAAGATGGGTTTGTTCACATGTCTGTTGCCCTAACAGAGATGACTAGAAGGCCAAGCTCAGCCGGAACTGTTTACTGAAATGCCTATATCCGGCACTTCTAGCATAGCAGAAGATTTCTTATTTGGCTCCCAGAGAGTGTTCTAAGACAGCAAAGAGGAAGCTGCAAGACTTCTTCTGTTTTAGCATTGGAAGTTACGCAGTGTCACTTCCACTACATTCTGTAGAAAAAAGAGAGCCCCAATGCCAACTGAAATCAGAGGATGGAATCACACAAGGACATTTTTACTTGGAAGCATGTTCATTAGGGAGCAACTTCTGGAGATTTCTTTATACACAGTTGGCTTTTGTCAAACAAATTCTCACTGTACTTGCTCATGCCACACATATTCCTGCATCTGGAGCTTTAACTGTGTTGATCTTCCCAAAAGGTTCCTTCCTCCTTTTACTTTCCCAGACCCTACCTGTCCTTCCAGGCTTATTCAGTTTCAACTTGAGCGTTTACAATCTTTCTTTGAATACTCTAGTTCTTAAAAAATCTTCCCCATTTTTGAAATACAATAGCATTTATAGTCTGATGGTAGGAATAGAAAGAAGAGTTGAAGATATTTGAGTAGAAGAATTAACAGGACAAAATGCCTGTTTGGATGTTGTAGGCTAGCAGTAGGAACCGGTCGGACATGATATTGTAGCTTTGAGTCTTGATAGCTGAGAGGATTGAGTACCACTCACAGAATCATGAAACACCACATGGGCAGTGGGTATGGGAGAAAATGTTAATTCCCTTTTGAAATATGTTACTTTGGCGGCATAGTGGAAGAGCCAGGTAAAGGAGTTGTGCAAACAATAAAGAAAGAGAAATGGAGATTGGGAAAGAGATGAGGATTAGAGAAGTAGATCTGGAAGCCTCCAGGCAAGGAGATGTTAGTTGAGTCTGTGGGATTGAATAAGCCTGCTGAGGAGAATATGTGGAGATGGAATACAAAATATCCAAAGACAGACTTGCAGCAGAAACAATATGATGATTCAGAGAAAAAACAAAGAGAGATAAGAAGAGACCTGGGGGAGTGCCAGGGAGAGCAGATCTTCATAAGCCTAAAAAGAAGGGAGCTTCTAGAAGGTGAAAATGGTCAAGTGTTAAATGCTGAAAATGTCTTTAAGAAGCAGAGGGCTAAAGAAGATCATGATTATGAGGTCATTGACTATGGATCTAGAAATTGTTGGGAGGAAGCCTGATTGTATCCAGTATAAGTGGCTATGGGGTTAGGAAGCAGGAAAAGTGAGGCCAGACTGGCCACTTTTTCAAGAAGTTTAGCAGTACAGGAAAATAGGATATCTTCTAAAATAGTTGTTATCTTTATGGGGGTAGTGCTAATATGCAGTTAGGTTGTCGGAATAAAAAATTGCAAAATGAAAACCACAATAAGAATTCAAGATGTGGCTAGGTGCAGTTGCACACATGTGTAATCCCAACACTTTGGGAGACCGAGACTGGAGGATTGCTTGAGTCTTGGAGTTCAAGACCAATCTCGGCAACATAGTGAGATCCCTGTCTCTACAAAAAGTAAAAAATTTGCTGCTGTGGTGGCACGTGCCTATAGACCCAGCTTCTCAGGAGGCTAAAGTGCGAGGATCCCCTGAGCCCAGGGAGATCAAGGCTGCATGAGCCATGATCATGCCACTGCACTCTTTTTACCCCAGGACCCTCTATCAGAAAATAAAATAAAATAAACATTAAAAATTCAAGATGTAAAGAAGTAAAAATGGAAGACAAATATCTCTAATTGAAGACCAACAGTTTAGTAGCTACAAAAATCATAATTTGATATAGATTTTAGTTTTTCTCCATTCCTTTTTTCCTCTTTTGCCTCAGCAAGCAATGTGGACAATTTAATGAAAATCTATTATCAGAATTCCAAGGCATTTTCCTTTCCTTTCCTTTTTTTTTTTTTTTTGCTGGGCTGGGGGAGAAGGGAAAAAGAATGTGGTTTGTGAGGCAAGTTAAACCTCAAGAATTTTTTCAAACTAAACACTCCCTAGCCGTTTGATGTCTGGAAGTCTGGATATTGGGGGCAGGGAAGCTAGCAGAGCTGTGGCTGTAGGACCATTTGTCATTTCCTGGGAGGTGCCTGTGCTTAACCCTTAAGGGAAGCACATTTGAACACACTGGGCTTTGACCAAGAGGAAGTCCAGCCCTCCACTTTTTCAGATTGGTGTTTTCTTTCCCTACCCCTAGTGGAAAAGACTGGCTTTCCTTGAGGGAGAAGCAAATAGCAGTGCCATTTGGATGTCAACGATATCAGCGCTGTTTAATGCCTCTGTGTTTTCACACTTTCTTGTGATAATCCAAAATACAGAAACAGTGTCACATATTATTCATCATTTTTAGATAGGAATGCATTCATACTGTTATGTTGTGTGTATTTTCACAAGAAAATCTTTGTCAAAACTGAGTCTGGCTTTTGTTTTGAAACTGGTATGCCAGGAAAGTGTTACAAAATCCTGTCTCTCCTTAAAGTATAACAGCCGGTAAGAAAGCACAGCATCTCTCTCCCTCCCAACCCTGGAGTTGTACTAAGTAGCTCACTGCCAATACCATCCCCCATAGCCTCTTTCCACTTAGTAAAATCCTTTGCTAAGTTGATATCTAGCTTTAGGAAGATTGAGGACAAGATTATCCTAGTTAAGAAGGAGCTTTTAAATGCAACAACTTGTATGCCATCTCCAAGATTTGTAGTTAGAGTGCTGTTCCTGAAAAGGAATAATTCAAGATGAGGAGTGGTCTTAGTATTATTGAGAGCCTGAGCTAGAATTGGAAGCCCCAAACCAAAAATCACAATCAAGTCTGAAAGCTCTACCTCTTCAATTATGTGAACACCACTTGGCAGCTTTTTGCTGTACGCAGCTTACAGTAGATAACAACTTCCATTGTCCCTCTAATCAGTGTCTTACAGAACTGAGCTTGCTACAAATAAACAGGGACACAAAAATGAAGTGTCCACAAAACGGCACACCCTTGGGTCATCGTAATAACCACTTAGGTTGAAGAGAAATCCACAGGATTCATGAAATCCTTAACTAAACACATTAAGAAACTATATATTACATTCTCCCCAAGTTAGAATAAGTGCTTTAAATAGCAGTCAGGAAGGAGAGGTTGGAAAGTTGATCTCAGAATGGCCTTTCTCTCTCTCTCAAATAAATCGTCAGTGTGTAACTCTCATCTTTTGAATAAAATTAAGTCCCTAAGGAAATAAAAGCAACTCATTTAAATCCAAGGATATGCTGGGTGGATCCAATACACTTAAATGTTCATGTGAAAGGTACCAAAGTGACTTAAAAAGTAGAAATTGGGGAGAGAAAGAGAGATAGAGAGAGAGAGAGAGAGATCACAAAAGTTTTATAAGTGCATACATT